AATAATATATATTTTTTTTTAAATGACATTTCGTTCAATTAAATTGAACAAGCAATGCAGTAATGTTCGGAAAATAATTTTTTCATACGTAAAAATTCGAAAAATTTTGTGAGAATCTCGTAATATAATGAGTTATTTTAATACAGTTCGTTATAACTTAACCCATTAAAATATCAGAACGAAAAATTAAAAGAGTTTTATAATCGTCGACAATATAATCGAATTTAAAAGTGTTTATGTTTAAAATTGACATAACTCTTTTAATCTATAGTGCATTCTCGAACAATAAGTTACGAGATAATATATAAATTGAACAAGAAAAATAATAATATCCGAAAAAATTGTGAAAAATTCGAAAAATCTTGTGAGAATCTCGTAATATAATGAGTCATTTTATTACAGTTCGTTCTAACATAACCTACTGAAATATCAGGACGAAAAATTAAAAAAGTTTTACAATCGTCGATAGTATAATCGAATTTAGAAGTATTTATGTTTGAAATTGACATAATTCTCTTAATTTATAATGCATTCTCGAACAATAAATTACGAGATAATATATAAATTGAACAAGAAAAACAATAATATCAAAAAAAAAATTGTGAAAAATTCGAAAAATTTTGTGAGAATCTCGTAATATAATGAGTTATTTTATTACAGTTCGTTCTAACTTAATTTACTGAAATATCAGAACGAAAAATTAAAAGGGTTTTACAATCGTTCGAATTTATAAGTATTTATATTTAAAATTAACTCTCTTAATTTATAATGTATTCTCAAAAAATAAATTACGAGATAATATAAAGTTTTCTTATAAGCCATAAGCTTGGTGAGTAGGTAAGGGGAGCCACACCCTCTCATCTCATCAGAAAAATCACAAGCAATGGTGTCAAAGCCAAGATTCACATAATTATTACATAATACATATTAAATTAATCTATATATATATATATTATTTGAGTGGATATATATTATTGAATTAATTTGCATGTATATATATATATGTAATCTTTATTTTTTTTAAATTAATTATCATTCACGAGAAAATTAGTATTTCAACACTTTTATGATGAAAAAAAATGTTATTGAAGAGTTTTATTTTTTAAAAAAATATATATTATATTAATTTGGTGGTATATTAAAAACTTATAAATTTTATGAAACAAAAATAATTTTTATACCCAAAAAAAAAATCAAGAAAAATATCAGAATATTATTATAATAATTCATATATTACCTAATATAAATATACTTTTTGGAAATTTTTATTGGAACTTTTTAAACAAATTATCCAAATTTTTTAAGTTCTTAGAAAATTTATTGGCTTATTTTTTTTTTGGATTAAAAATAAAATATAATTATGCTAAATTTTTTTTATTATTTACTTTCACTGTTTATAATTTATTATAATATTTTTTTTCTAAAATAATAAGATATTTTTATAGTTAAAATTAGTTTATCCATTTAATTATTTACTTTTCTTTTGGGTTGGTTGGATTCGTTCTTATCAGATTTTCTAACAGAAGAGGTTGTGTGGGTGCTATGAAACAAGAATAGAATCGAATCTACAGATCTCAATTGAAGGGGGGGTTCACGCAGTTCTATCTCAATTTGGAGTGCGGTAGAGCTTACTGTTTGGTTCGGTAGAAAAATTGGAGATGGTATTGGAAAGTTAATTGGAAAATTTTCGAAGAAGAGGGGGGGGATGGCGATAGCAGCAGCCGGGCAGCTGAATGTGACCGAATCTCCAGTTTGGGGATCCAGAAGTGTCGATTGTTTCGAGAAATTGGAGCAGATTGGCGAGGGCACATACGGGTGTGTTTCTTTCTTTGTTTTTTTTTTTTTTTGTTTTCTCGATTTAGGTTTTGGTTCTTCCTTCATTTTTCTTTTCCGAATTTTCTGTATCTCCTTCTTCAAATTCATCTCGTATTTAGCTCCTTGGATGACTGATTTTTTGTTTAGAAATTTGAGTGAAGTTTACCTTTTCGGAACTTGCTATAATTTGTTAGTTCAAGTTCAGTTATTTCCCTTTTTGAGAATTAGATGAACGGCTCTTCAATTATGAATGGAAACCAGATTTTGTTTGTCCAAACATGGATTTTCGTGGTAAAATTTGGGTTGAGTTTCTATATCATGCTTCCATGATTGAAATTTCGAGTTCATGGAGGAATTTAGCAAAAAAATAAAATAAAATTTCTTATAAATAATTGAGTTCATGTTGAACTTTGAGGAAGCAATTTAGTCAGTAAATGCAACTGAAGATAAATCGACTGGAAAGATAAAACATTCTCTAATTATGCAGCATTCTTAGACAGAGAACAGCCATTCACCATGGTTCTACTACTCGTTCTCCTTGGTTGATCAATGGTCAAGATACATTCTCTTCTCGCCTCCCATGCAAAGAAAAAGCAATTCTTGGAGGAACGTTCACCTTCCAAATCTGCTTGGCTGGAAACTGATCCACCCACACTTCACCATTTCTAACCAAATTCTCCAATGGTGCCCAGTGGCATATAACCTTTGGACAACGGTCTATGATTTGTTGGGGATAAGTTGGGTTATTGCCAGGTCAGTGAGGGAGGAGAATTGGGCTTGGGAGGGGACTTGTAAAAAGAAAAATTTGTAAATCTTATTCCATTGACTTTTTCTTGGATGGTGTAGAGAGAAAGGAAAAGTAGAGCTTTTGAGGGGATAGAAGGAGAGATGACTTAAACTAGGGATGGATGGTTACATTATTTTGGTTCTTTGATTTTGGGTCATGATATTTACAGGTTTGAGAATTTTGGGAATGTCATAGATATACTAACTTATTTGTAAATATTATTATAAATGGGAGGCATCCTCTTGGTGCTGATAATTTAATATACATGTTATACATTTTATTTCAAAAAAAAAAAAAATACTATAGTTTTCTTTCAAAGAAATAGCTTTGCCTAACCCCTCATTGCCAATGCCTAATTCAATGTTATGAATTAGTTTTCGTAGTAATCCTTTGGCAATGATAGTGAATGCAATTCATTCGGTCAGATTAGGATTCAAAGAAACAGACTCTAAGGTTGTGAATGGTTTGACCCACATTCCATTCCCACCTAATACCTAACTGAATCTTTTATTTCAAAAAAAAAAAATCCTAACTCAATCTTCATATTAACTTGAAATTTACAATCAGGACGTATTTTCTAAGTTTAATCTCGGTCCCATTCCATCTTCAATTCTTTGGATATTAGGAATCCGATTCCTATGAATTGGATTCTGGGTGGGGATGAGGGATGAGATCAAACATAGGAACAATATCCTAATGTTAAGATTCATAAGAATTTTTTTTTTCTTGATAAAAGAAGAAGTATTATTGAGGGAAAGAGGAGAAAACTAGAATGAAGAGAGGGTGATACATCCTCCTGGTGTTTCAACTTATAGCGAGCAAAAGAAATTATAAGGCAATATAATACAAAACAATTGTAACAACTTAAGGGCCATAAATAATAATTTCCCAATTCTGGTGTAGATCCAATATAGCTAGGCCTGAGAGTTTCCCATGCAACTTGACCCATAAGAAAATTTCTTTTTTTAGGATAAACTTGACCCAAAAGAAAATTAGAGGTCGTAATTAAGTGGGAATGAAATGAGAATTGAACCAAATATAACACAGAAGTTTTTATTAGCTATATGAGATCTGTGAATGTTTCTGAAATTGAGGCGTTGATGAATGTACAAGATAATCATCCAGATCCATGTCTGGTGCCATTAAAGATTTGCCATTGTTACTACAAACACATACACATATACAGTTGTATTTTACAATTGCCAATTACAAGACATTGCTCTAATAGAAACAAAACTTTAGATTTTTATAGGTTTTCTGAGAAATTAGTAGAATCAGAAACAAGTAGTAGTCTGCTGCTTCAGGTTTTATTCATATTGAATTTAATTTGGAAAGTTATGGCAGGAAGTTCATCTTCTGTTTCTGATGCTGAATGCATGTTAGCTTTCCTAAAATTCATTCTCAAATAGTTAATTTACTTTGATGTAAGTAACATGAAACTCATACGCTCTATATACAACCATACACTTTAAGATTAGAAAAAGCTTATGCGTTGTCTGGCTCTAAGAGTTGGAATAGACCAACTGGTAGATCAACAATCTTCCAACCTTTAAGATAATATGATTTACGTTCTTTGTCTTATTTTCTATTGTATTTATGGCTTTAGCCTAAGTAATTCCATAATATAATTTTCTTATATTACCATTGATTGAAATATCTCTATGCAACTGGTTTGGGACGGGATGATGGAATATTGTAGTCGCATCATATATGACATGCATTGGTCTGTGAAACTAACATATTTTAAGCTTTATTTTGGTGGTCAGTTTATTTCATCACATGTATTAGCAACCTCTTCTCGTGTAGCTTATTTTCCTATGGTTGTTCAGTCCAATTTTCTATCATCAGCATCTAGTTTTTAATTGTTAGCTCCTGATCATGATTTGTGGTGCGCTATTTTGCTATGCCCTTCAACTTATGATGTATGGTCATTAGTTTCTTTACCATAAGAAAACACTAAAGAAAAATCTTTTTGCTTCAATTTGTGATGTATTAACATCTTATATATCTCATCATAGTTCTTGATGTTGGAGGAACAATGACTTGTTTATTTCCATATCTGCAGTCAAGTTTACATGGCCAGAGAAATAAAGACAGGTGAAATTGTTGCTTTGAAGAAAATACGAATGGATAATGAGCGAGAGGGGGTACGTCCTTTACCCTTTTGCCAGCGTCTTTCTAACTACTTGATCTAAAATATATGTTACTTAGAAGAAGGCACTATGATCTTCTTTTGCCATACCTCTCGTGCACCATTTACATTTTCTTGCTAGAGGCAAAAGCAAGAAATAGGATACAGCGTGTTGGTACGGAGTTTTATGCTTTTTCTTTAAAATTAATGATTCTCTCTTCTGAAATGTATTTTTATTTCATTTCTTTGTGCAGTTCCCAATAACTGCTATACGCGAAATCAAAATTTTAAAGAAGTTGCATCATGAGAATGTAATAAAGTTGAAAGAGATTGTGACTTCTCCTGGTATTTTTTGTAAACTAATTTTGTCTATGCATGTTCTTTTACCTTGGTATGTATTTCTTAACTTACAAATTTTTGGGTTAATTTTACAGGTCCTGAGAAGGATGAGCAGGGTAGGCCAGGCAAGTTGTCTGCTTGTGTGGCTTTTAGCATAGTCCATTGCTTAAGCATGTTGCTGTCCTTTTATGATTTCCAGATAACTTTATTGAATCAAATGTCATAGTTTTGTTGTTTTATGATTTTGGCCAGGGTATATCTTACTAAAGCTGCATTGCTTGCAGATGGTAACAAGTATAAAGGTGGCATCTACATGGTTTTTGAGTATATGGACCATGATTTGACAGGTCTTGCTGATCGTCCTGGGATGAGATTTTCAGTTCCACAGATTAAGGTATCACCTTCATGATAACTATGCTTTCATATTTCGGGTCTAAGTCAATATGCTGTCAGCATACCATTCCTCTTTTATATTTTCCTTTTCTTATTATCCTCTTTTAGTATAGTGCTATATGAGGCAGCTTTTGACGGGACTTCATTACTGTCACCTAAATCAAGTTCTTCATCGTGATATCAAAGGTCAATGAAAGGAAGACTATGTCTTTGTTGAATCCTTGCCATCATTAATCCAAGCTAAGATTATTCAATTGCATTTGTGCTTCAGGTTCTAATCTTCTTATAGATAATGAGGGTAATCTCAAGCTTGCTGATTTTGGACTTGCACGATCCTTCTCAAATGATCACACCGGGAACCTTACAAATCGTGTTATTACTTTATGGTACAGGTAAATGGTTCTAATCCCTTATATAAAGAATCCAGCTCGAAACAGTTAAAAAAATTATTTGTACATGGCTGGTAACCCCTTTTTTTTTTGGTGCCTTATTTATATATACTATATTTTTTTATTTTTTAAAAAAAACAGTTAAAAAAAATTTTGTCATTTGAGTAGTGTACACATTTCCTACTATCTAAATAAACATTAAACAAGAAATTTTGCATCTTCTTTTGAGCAGACCACCAGAATTGTTACTCGGAACGACAAAGTATGGTCCAGCTGTGGATATGTGGTCTGTTGGTTGTATCTTTGCTGAGCTTCTGCATGGGAAACCAATTTTCCCTGGTAAAGATGAGGTGAATATCTATGTTTTGTGTTATTTCAAAAAAATAAGAATATATATGCTTTGTAAGTTATCTGTCTGTAGTTTATATGGCTGAAGTCTGAGTGATGCCAGGATACAAATTGGTAGACTGATTATTGATCATAAGCTTAAAGAAAGGCTTAAATATTCAAATGCTCTCTGTACAAGTCATTTGAAATAGACCCTGGTCATTTGAAATTATTCAGATAAGAAACCTTACATAAAGATTTCATTTTTTCATCAAGTTGTCTGCCACATGGCTGCATATGTGGTCATATGGCAAAAATTTTTAAAGCCTTACCAACATGGCAGCCACGTGGTTACAACATTGGCAAGGCTTTAACAGTTGGCAAACACATTGTTGGAACCCAAAGAGCGTGTTCTCCTTAGTCACTTTCTCCTCTATCTCTTCTGTCAACTTCGTCATCTCAACCTTGAAAGCTAGAAGCCCTAGAACACGTTAAAACCTAAACAATCCTAAGATTCTATGGGATTTGTTTTGATACGTGAAGATGGATCTTAGCTCCACAATCTTAAGTTTCATCCAATGTCCAGAACTTTTGGCAAGCCGTTACAATGCCCTTTAGACATCCCACATCAATCTTTATAGCTCTGTTATTGCATATGCCATTGATGTCAAAGTCCTACAACGTGTGACCTATGATCATCTTGTTGCACTAGGAATTGTCAAATCCATTTCTCATTAACTGTCAAGCTATAATTAGCATACTAAGAGTAGCAAAACAAAATAGAGAAAAAAAATTAGCATATTTGCAAAACTTGCAAATATTATGTACATGGGCAGTACCCCATTGATACCATCGATTCTTTAATACATTTTTACAGTTTTACTCCAAAAAAAAGATTAACAAAACAAAATAGAGAAACAAAGAATGATTAGGCTAAAGCTGAGACTTTCTCCTGTTCCCCTTCCAAAACTCTCTCCCTTTTCCCTTCGGTTTGCAGCTATTGCTGTTGCTCCATCTAGGGCAGGAAGCAATGTAATTGACAGAATATGAGACTACCTGAGGACTAAGGAAACTAATGCATCTGCAAGGTCCCACTAATTCAAGGAGCTGAAACAGAGAAGGCCATCTACCCCAACAAAGAAAACAAAAATGTCTTAGCGAGCAATGGAGTCAGTTCGTACACAGATCTCCTCAAACAAGGTGGCTGCAGCGACAACACAGAAGCTCCTATTCTGGCATTATCTGGAGGGAATTTGTGGGTTTGTCTAATCTAGATCTAGATGAAGGATCCAAAAGGGAAGAGTCCCTATCTGAAATAAAGCGACTGAATAATAGGGGTTGAGGCGTGGGTGGGGTTAGAGAATGAAGTGAAGTGAAGGGAAACCTGGGAGAAGGCAAGTAGGGATAGATTGACGTCTTGTAATTGTGAGAAGAGTTTCTTCGGTTGAGTTGAGTGACAGGTGTGGGTCGAGGGGATGGGCGCTTCATGTTGCGGGGGGGTGGGGGGGGGGGGGAGGCGGGTTGAAAGCCAGGGTCACCAGTGTCGGAGACTGAGGAGAGGGTAAAGGAGCTGATGCAGCCACATGAGGTGCAGGGAGAATACACTGTGGCAATATTAAAGATGTCATGCGGAGGATGAGGCATCAAGAATAGGAGAGCTCGAGAAGAAAGACACGCGGCTGCCACATGGGTATCTCATAAGTTAGATTTTATATTATGTTAGTATAATCGGTCATGTGACATAGACTTACATGATAATGATGAAAAGGGTCTCATTTGAGCGGGTTTTGAAAGTTCAGGTTTAATTTAAAGACAAAAATATCATAGGGGCCAATTTGAACAAAAATTGAATAGTATATGGATCAATTAGGTATTTAAGTCCTTTTTATATTATTGTGTTATATAGATCCCATCTATGAAATTTTGAATCAAACATTCTTAATCTATATTTCAGTAACAAAAGGGGATCGTTTGGATATTGGATTTCAGTACATTGTATTTCTTGTTTGACTGGCATATAATATGATAGCTCCTGCAATTATGAACTCTCTCGTAGAGGTTCGTTGTTTCCTCTATATAGTAAATTAAACGGGAAGAGAAAAACCTCAGATTTCAAAATTACCCGCTGTGGTAAGAATGCCAGAGGCAGCTGTACGATACCCCAGACTCCTTCCTCCCACACTCCCCTAGGTACCCGCAAAACTGGGCTTGGACAAAATGTTGATAACACATCTCGGTTTGATTTTGCACAAAATGCTCTTCTCCTGCCCTGAGGCAGAGATGTGAAATGGGACAGATGGCCCAGTAGTTTCCCCAACCGAGGATGGTATGAGCCAGGCTAGGCCAAGCCAAATGGGTCCATAGCATTAAGTATTTAAAGGGAAAAAGGCGTAGTGGCACTTACTTTCCACCAAAGAGGTGCCATTAGTATGCAAGAAATATTTGCTAAAAAAATGTGAATCAAAATGGCAACTAGGTCTCCTAGATCATTAAAGAAATGCATAGTTCCAAAAAAAATTCTCTGATTCTATGAATGAGAGGATGCTGTCTTCAAAGCTTTTTTGTTCCTTTTCTGTCAAATGACCCAAAGGATGCTGAATGTGATGAGGGAGATGGGCCTCAATGTAGCACATTATTTCATAGAATAAGATTTTATCATTAAGAAGATGACCAAAGAGCACCATTTTAGCGAAGTACCAATCCATACAATACAGATATATTTAACTTTTCTATTTCATAGAATTTTATTTGGAATGAAACTATTTTCTTGATCAAAATATTAACTTCTTTTGCAAGACTGTAATATAATGTGTTATTTGTAACTGTACTAGCCAGAACAATTAAATAAGATTTTTGAGCTTTGTGGAGCCCCAGACGAAATCAACTGGCCTGGTGTTTCAAAGATTCCTTGGTATAACAACTTCAAGCCAACAAGACCGATGAAGAGACGTCTAAGGGAGGTTTTTAGGCAGTAAGTAACGCAACTTGCAGCCTTGACATGCTTTTTTATTTGCATGATTTAAAAATTTTGAGATAGAGTAATTATTTTCTGTCCCTTCTATCTACTTCCCCTCTCATGACTTATGCTACTATTTTTACATTGTAGTTTTGATCGTCATGCTCTGGAGTTGTTGGAAAAAATGCTGACTCTTGATCCTTCTCAGGTATCATGTTATTAGATGTAACTGTTCACCTTAGTTCATATTGCCAATTTATAAATTAGAAGTTGTAGTAGTTCTAGCTGTTCTTTTAGATCTAATTTTTGAATTGGATTAAGAATTAGTGGTACCTTTTGAAATTAGATACGTTCTCTTACTTATGAAGTTTAACTAGTACATAACATTGATTGATTACATTTTCTCTCATTTCTTGTGGAGAACCAAATAAACTGAGACAGATTATAATTTAACAGAGTGTCGGAATTTATAGTTTACTGGGGAAAAAACAGATTATATTTAAGAAATAATATTCAATTTGAGGGGACGGAAAAAATTTGACTATATATGTTCTTTCTGGAAGGAATGATGATAATAACATTTTTGCAATATTGAATCTACAGACTAAGTTCGCTTAAAAATAGATAATCAGAATAAGATGTGCTGCTGGTCACACCAAAATTTTTCATTGGCCTATCCCTTAAGTGAAGAAATTTTGAGGTGTCATTTTATCATAGTGTGAAAGATCTAGTTTACTTTCACCATGTTGTTTGAATTTCATAATGATGGTTAAATATTGATAATCTGCTTTTTGGAAGCAGAAACTTTAACTCAAGTTTCTTAGGTACATCAGCATGCAAGAATGAAAATAATTCGTTACACTTTATATGTACCAGAACTTGCTTTCCTTAGGCAATAATATTTTATATTTCCTTTTGATTCCTTTTTAGCAGATTCTGTATTTTTTACTGTAGTTATTTGTGAGAACGAATGAGGTAAAGTCAATTGGAAAATAGATTAATAATTTGTTATCGTATCTGTTTTTAAAGGCTATTTTGAACTAAAAGCACGAGTAACTAACTCCATAATTGACAATTCATTTGTGCATGGTGGAATTGCCTTTTTGTTCCCACTTTTGGTCACAAAAAAAATAGAGAATATCTGCAAACGATACGAGAGGTTTTAAAATATATGTTCCTAACATTACTTGCCTTTTTGTTCCCATTCGGTCAATACGAAAATAGAGAATTTCTGCTAAGGATGCGCTTGATGCAGAGTATTTCTGGACTGATCCTTTGCCTTGTGACCCCAAGAGGTTTGGTTCTGTCTTTCTTTCATGTCATAAGTCACATTTAGAAAAAAAAAAAATTATCAGCCCTTCATTTATATGGTTTATTTCAGTTTACCCAAATATGAGGCCTCGCATGAGTTTCAAACTAAGAAAAAGCGACAGCAACAACGACAACATGAAGAAAATGTTAAACGTCAAAAACTACAGCATGCTCAGCAACATTCACGCATTCCAAACATTCAGCAGACAGGGCAAGCACATGGGCAAATGCGGCCAGGACCAAACCTTACCATGCATGGTTCTCAACCTCCAATTGCTGCAGGGCCAAGCCACCATTATGCAAAGCCTCGTGGACCTTCTGGAGGGCCAGGGAGATATCCACAGGGTGGAAATAGTGGAGGATATAATCACCCTAACCGGGGAGGTCAAGGTAGCGGACCATATCCCTCGCAAAATCGAGGCCCACCATATGGTTCAAGTGGGATGGGAGGTGCAGGTCCCCGAGGTGGAGGGGGTAGCGGGTATGGAGCCAATGCTCCTAATTATTCTCAAGGGGTCCATACAGTGGTTCTGGTGCTGGTCGTGGGTCGATGTGATGAATGGAAACCGGAATCATCAGTATGGCTGGCAGCAGTAGTGGCACACTTTGATGATTGTATCTAATGGTATTTTGGAGAGGAGACATGTAAACTAAATGGTCAAAGTTGAGATATGTGAGGATGACGATCTTGGTTTTTTTTTTTTTTTTTTTAAATAACAATAATCATCTGCAACATGTATCTGTAGAAATATTTACCTATACTATACCTTGTGAGGGTGTGACATTACCTTTCATTGACCTAGATGATGTAATCATGAAGCCAATTTCCTGGCTTGTTCCCAAAAACATTTACTTCTAAGACATTGTCTTCTTGTTTGCACCAGAATTATTGGGTTTTGCATTCTGTTTGGCCATAGTTCTAATTGAAGAGAGAGCCTTAAACAATGACTACATTTGGAAATTGAATATTTTGAAACTCAGAGTTTGAGCAAAAAATCTATTACCAACGGTGCCAAGTCTTAACTCGTATATAAAATATTTACACATCTAACTGGTAAATTAATAAGGTTCAATTTCATCTTCATTTTTTACTCTACAATCATACCTGATAATATGTCTTCGCGTGCAAAACTTTCTTCCTAGGTCGGAAATTTCCTTAGTTCTCTGTATACTGGCTTCACCGTCACTGAGTTTTGAATCTATAATCATTTTCTCACTAAATTCCACTACTCTTCCTTCCATGAGAAAAGAAGAGAAAATTTTTAGATAAAAGAAGATTTATTAGAAAGAAAGAGAACTAATACAATGCAAAACCAGAGGATAAAGGATCCATCGTAAAGAGAATCATGAAAACTTAAAGAACAAGTAGATATGAGGTGATTCAACCCTATAAGCTATTTATAATAGCTTTCAAGTCCTATGTGAAGAAAGATAAGTGCTTTACTATTGTCTTCTTAATTTTGTTCTTGTTTGTAAAAACCCATAAGCAAGAAGCTTGTCTATGGAGTTTTTGTTAAGTTCAATATGACCAGCTGGGTTACATGACCTGGTCACCGTAAGAAGAAAGTTACTTTGATCAAATTATTCACCGTTATATAAACATTTTTACAAAATTCTCTCATGTACACTTGCTAATCATTTTACTAAGCTTCTGTTATATAAATTTAATAAGAGTAATTATGTTTTTTATTGAGCTTCTGAAACTCTAAAAAAGAGAAAAAAGCCCTTCCAAATATGTTGGTATGGATTCTCACCTTTCTTTTTCATTTTAACATGATTACAAGAACTTCTCTCTGCACAATTAGAAATATTCCATCCAAGAAACTTCCTCCAAAAGAAGTCAGAAAAAATTTACAAAAAAAAAAGAAAGAAAAAGAAACTATTAACCCTCGAAAAGTATATATTGATCAAGACCCAAACTTCCTGTACCTCAAAATTTTCTCAACTTGGTTGAAAGATAAATGAGATATTCCAACAGAATGAGACACTGTATTTCTATTTTTATCACTTGATAAAACTACTTGCAAAAGCCTTACCTCTTCCTTACTCATTTTTAGCAGTTTAAGAATCTCCCTGATACGAGGGAAAAATGCTTCTGGCCGAGCACAGAAGGATCCGAAGACAAGGAAGAGAGCTTGTGCATCAGTTTCGAACTGATTGATCCAGTTGTCAGAAAAATGAACCTCACTAGTAAATATACAGTGAGAAATAAAATGGTCAAGCCCGTCAGCAACATTTCGCCATAAATCCAAGAAGTCATTTGAATTGAGACCCGCCTTTAAAAGATGAAGATGACATCTCAAAGTATCCAGTGCTTCCACAAGATGCATAGAAACAGCTAAATCCATGGCTGCTGAACCTCCACTTGAGGCAAAATCTTCCTCATCCTCAAAATACCCACAAGATTGAGTTTCAAACCAGCGAAGAAGGAAGGCAATGATATCCACAAGCAAATTGGTTTCAACATCAGCCAAAGCTTTCACCTCTTCCCCAAAAAAGCAAACGTTATCGATACTTTTGTCTTTCTTATCAAAGTTAGAGTTAATTTCAGCAATTCTCATCTCCAACAATTTCACATCTTCACTCCACTCTCGCAGTTTGTTTTCAACATATCTAGCAGCATTAATCAAACCACATACGGTGATTAAGGCACTATCATCAGGATCATCAGGACACAATTTACTTCTATTGTACCGAAACATCAGAAAATCAAAGAAGTACCAAAGGAATCTGCCTGCAGTTGATCTTATAAATTGGATTCTTGGGGAAATAGCTGTTAAAGTTAGGCCTCGCTCAATCAATTTCCAGGTTATTTTAAGTGCTGATTCTGCTATTAATGGAGCTTTATGCTCCTCTCTGGAAGATAATAAAAATTGTTCGGATTCCCTGGCTGTGTGTGTGTCCATCCGACATCTGTTATCAATCAACCATGCTTTCTCATCTTTGATGTCAGCTTTTAGTTTCTTTCCAGCATCCTTTAGCTCTATCTTTGCCCAAATCTTGAGCCAGTCTGAACTATCACATAATATTGTCAAAATTGATATTTTGCAGAGTCCATCAAAACTTTCGGAGTCCACCCCAAAGAGGCTAGTTTCTGAACTTACAAGTGATTGCATCTGTTTATCAAAAGCAATTATAAGGTCTACAAGATGAAGCCATGAGGAGATAACTTCAGGTTTCATAAGTTTCTCCTTGTGTCTTTCAATGAGTGCATGAAAAACTCGTTTTTCTAGAAATTCAGAGACCATTTTTACCATTGCAGAAACCCATGCTTCTTTAGCACTATAGTTCACTAATCTCGCTCTGTCAATCAGCGGCTGCAGAACATCATCCACCCCAACAATAAAATCCCTTGTAATTTTGTATGAGAGAGCAAAAATATACTCAGGCTGCTCTACCCATTTTAGGAAGTGATATTCCATTCGTGTCGAAATGGGGGATGCCAGTTCATCTATAGGCCAAAGTCTTTGGTCATTTTGTTTTGAAATATGAAGACGCCGTACTTCTCTTTTAGTCTGCAAGTGCTGCAAAGCACAGAGAACCAGAAAACTTTGACAATAAGACTTCCTTTTATCTCCTTGCATTAAGACTAAGGGGTTTGGAATGCCAGAGATTCCTCCATTTTCCGTATTTGATAAAAGTTTGGGCGGCCAGCCTAGAGAAGCAAGAAGGGCACGATGTTCTGCAAGAATGTGTGGCCGAAGAACAGATAAAATTTTATCTACCCTTGTATCAACTGACTCCAAAAGACGATGCCACTGTCGCTGAAATTTAACATCCGATACTATTTCTTCAATATCTTTCATGACTTCTATAGCATGATGTAACCTTTCATGCTTTACTCCAAAATCCTGTAACCCGAAAATGAATTGTCAAAAGTTTGCGCCTTCCTTCTAAATTAAATTTAAAATAAAAAGGAAAAGGTGAGAAGTCATTACAGTTGAACTTGATGGATTTAAAAGCTTTGTAGAGAACATACTCCCTAGACGGTGATTCATATCACAAAAAACTGCATCTTCTACATCGCCAACCAGAGCTTCCAACTTCAGAGCAGTATCTAAAGATCTAAAAAGGTTAGCTTACTGTTTGGCCTTGTAGAACAAGAAAAATGATCAGCAAAAACACTCATAAAGAAGAGACCTGAGCAAGTTTCTAAAAAGAATGAGCATAAACTTCTTTTTAGAGGAAACAAAGGAAATTCATTAAAATAAAGGCATCAATTGAGTGCCATGTACAAAGGTTTACCAAATAATGCCAGACGACAAAAGGTCGTTGAGGTCAAGTAAATCTGCCTTATCACAAATTGGGCAACCCTTAAAGTTAAAAAAAAAAGGTCCTAAGGCAATGATCCGGGATATATCCATGAGGGAAAGGAATTTTCAAAACTCTTCAAGCCCACAACTTGGCAACAGGGAAACACTTCAAGCCCACAACTTATTTTTCAGTAACCTACTAACCATCCAGCTAAGATTCATCAAACTGAAGAACAAAACCCCAAAGTCGTCTAGATTCACTGCAAGAAATAAGTCGATGACCAGGGCATTCACTCTCTTTTCCGCACAAAAAGCATATGCTATGTGGTACTGAAAGAATGAATTAGAATGAACATAAAGATTAAAAAAAAAAAATCTTTGAATAAGTTATATGCCCACCAAATAGGGAATTTTTCATAATAAAGCATTAATCAATTCATGTTAGATAACTCTTATTTAATGATTATACCATATGATTGCAACTTATTGATTTTCTCTTTATATTTTTAATTTAATTTTTTTCTTTTGTGTACTGAGCCATATCCTCTAAGCAATATGCTTCCTTGAGGAATGAAGAGAAGTGTGATTGAGGGCCTTACTTCGATTTGCACCTACAGTTTGCTAACACTACGATTATTTTCCTTTCTAGTCTGGAAGAAGTTCAGTAATGTCTTAAACATTTGTTTTTCTATGAAAATGTTTAGGGCCTAAATATTAACCTTAGGAGGAGTGGACTTATGGTATCAATACTGAGGAGTAGATGGTTAGTGGTTTGGCTAAGTCGGTGAGGGACACTTTGTTCAGATAGGAACTAATATTCAAATGTGATTTTATTTAACCGTGAATGAGCTATTTATAATGTTACAAGACATTAGGATGTACAAATCTACTTATATAAAATATTAAGTTGAAGAACCCTAATAATATAAAAAATATGAGATTAGTGATCTACAAAAATTATAATACATATCAGATATAAGAGTTTATTATCCCTTTACATATACTGAGGGGCCTATCACTTATTTCAATGTCCTCCTAGGGA